ACAGACACTCACCGATGAGTGGAACACACCAAACAAACACGACCAACAGATGCTCCCCGACGAGTGGAACACACCAAACAAACACGACCGACAGACGCTCCCCAACGAGTGGAACACACAAAACAAACACGACCGACAGACGCTCACCGATGAGTGGAACACACCAAACAAACACGACCAACCGACGCTCCCCGACGAGTGGAACACACCAAACAAACACGACCAACAGACGCTCACCGATGAGTGGAACACACCAAACAAACACGACCAACAGACGCTCCCCAACGAGTGGAACACACCAAACAAACACGACCGACAGACGCTCACCGACGAGTGGAACACACCAAACAAACACGACCAACAGACGCTCCCCAACGAGTGGAACACACCAAACAAACACGACCGACAGACGCTCACCGACGAGTGGAAACAGACGCTCACCGTCGAGTGGAACACACCAAACAAACACAACCCACAGATGCTCACCGACGGCTGACAGTCAGCTTGGTGTGTCCCGGGCTTTACATGCATGAAACCAAATGATTACATTTTTTCTGTCATAAAAAGTCAGGCCTTAACCTTTCAAACATTCACTATTTGACTGAAAGTGAGGATGAAATTTTAACAGTATTCTAACCAATTTATTTAAAACATTTTCTAACTAATTTATTTTGAGCCTTCTGCAATTTATGTCTCATACTACTGTATGTCAACTACTACTAGTAATGGGGTAGAGGTAAGAATTGTAGTGGCTATGTTATGCTTGTTTAGGACTAAAAATTAGTTGGAATACAAACCTCAGGAGTCCAGGTACTATAAAGAGGAAATCAAACATTTTGGCCTTGCTCTTCGTGGTACCATGTGCTACGCAGGGGAAGCTTTGTGGCATGTTTCAAGGCTGTGTGATAGATGAAAGGACTAGTTGCCTTGTGAGTAGTATGGAAGTAAGGGTTGTGACTATCATGGTTATAGTTTGTGTGTTTAGTTTTAACGTGTGTGTGTGTGTTTGTTTGTTTTTGTTTTAGTGTGCTTACTGGAGATATACTGATGGGTGCCTCAGAGAACTGCCCAGCAAACAGGGGACGTCACCCAGACGTTTCGAACATCCGTTTAGGTCCGCAGTACGTCCGCTTTGTAACGTTCGGGGGCGGACGTTCGGAGGACGTCCGGATTTGGTCCGCTGTGTAACGTTTGCTGGCGGACGTTTTGAGGACGTCCACTTACGTCCGCATTTGGTCCTCTTTTTGACGTTCGCTGGCGTGAACACTTTCGAAGCTAACGTTAGCATGTAACGCTGAAATGATTAAACGTATATAATATTGACAGTTATTTAACTTAAATATTGAATTTCCATATGGTAAAAATACACACTGATACGCCTATATGCGGCAAAAAGGCCTATGTGCGCTAAATTTCGGACCGCTTGGTCTAAATCCAAATGTGTTCATTTTGTTGTTTTAGGTTAGAAGACAATGGGAAGAATTGCCATCGGACTAACCACAGCTGACAACCAGAGACGCACACACACACACGGAAAGAGCACCGCAACTTTACAATTGTTCAATTAAAATAAACGTATTTTGCTCCATACAACGTGTCTGTTGTCTTTGATTAGCCTAAAAGTAAAATAACATAACATTCAGAGGACTTAAAGCGAAAGTCCCCTAAACGTCCCGAATGGCCGCTGCACGTCCTGTGAACGTCCCCTTCAACGTCCGGAGGACGTCTTCGCGAACGTCCGCTCGACGTAAAAGGGGACCCTACACGCTGACGTCCGGGGGACGTTCGCAGAGGCCATTTAGTGGACGTCCTGGGGACCTTTTTTTGTTAGCTGGGTGAGTAGATGTATTCAATAACACAGGTACTGATCTTAATTGAATTATTGGACTATGTGAAATTAGTTTAAGCTTTTCTATTGTAATTTGTGTTGTGTTGTATTGTGCTAATTCCAAGGCAATCATGGGCAAGGGGCAATCATGAATTGTATTTTTTATTTTATTTTTTTTACAGATGATGCTTGATTGTCATTTACTTTTATTGAAAATATAAATCATTGAGATGATGGGTCTTAAGAGATGATTTTTAATGTTACATTGTGATGAAGTGGCTTGAATTCATTGTGAGATTTTGTTTTTGTTTGTTACTTTGTTTTGTTTTTTTATTTGTTTTGTTTTGGACCAACAGGTTTCCATTCTCTTATATGGTTAACTCTGTTAAGGTGAGGGGGAGCAATTTGTAATGGTTCGAATTGTGTGTTTTGCACTTGTAGTGATATTTAGTTTGAGTTGTGATTGAGTGTACATTTTTTGCAGAGTAATTGTCATTCCATATGATTGGGGAACCCTATGGTCTGCAGTGGTTATAATAATGTTTGGTTGTTTTGTTTCTTTTGTTTTCTTGCAACTTCTAATTACCTTCTGTGTTCAATAAATGTTGATGCACTTGCAAGGAGAAACACTGTGGTTGTTGCCCCTCTTTTTCATTATCCCCATCTCTTGTAACGTCTGGGGGTTACATACTGTACATACTACTGTATACCCGCTGATACGATCCGCTGGAACTGGACATATTAGAGCACATTACACCTGAACTGTGATTAATGCTTGACTGTTTATATTCATAGAAACCAATGCAGGGCACAACATTCAGTGACCGTTCAGTATGGTGTTCATAACATTTGTTCAAAGCAGTCTCACCCTGTGCAAACATTCAGAACATTCAAATGTCAGAAATAATGCATGTGTAAAATTCAAGAAAATTATTTTTTGGTTGGCATCACCAAGTCCATGAGGGATTTCTGTTAATTTTAATAATTACAAGCTGTTGGCAGTGTTTAGTTGTTGGTTAATATCAATACAGCTTAGTGATTTTGTCATTGTTTCAGTCTGCTATCATTCTGTATTCATATGCAGTTTACAGTCTCTGCAAAACAAATATAAATCTGATCTTCGGTTCCGTGTAGTAGATCCCCCACAATCCGCTGCAAACTCACATTCAGCTCAATCCTGATGGATAAACTCCAGCCAGCATTTATTCTAGCAGAAAATCATAAAAACATCAAATGATGAAAGCTGCAAATGCCTTCGTTAAACATTTGTGTCTTTCACACATTTTTTCACTTTCACTTCAGCATCAGTTTGTGGCATTATCTGCTGGTCCGTGTCTGTAAAACGACGGATTTGCTTCAGCTCTGAAAACTCACACATAAGGTACAGTCATCAGAGCACTGGCTCCCTCTGTGAAATCCCCCCACCTCCTCATCTGACTTCCTCCAGCTCTGAGACCAAACAGGGTTTGTTGGTCGCTCAACAACACCTGCACAGAATATGAGAACCAGGGCATCGACTGCTAGTTAAAGCTGCGCTAACGAGGCAAGTTGACGAAATGTTTAGCGAACACCATCTGCGTGATGCTGATGTATTAACTGAAAAAAAAAAGGTCTTCTCTGCAGACCCTGCAGAGCTGAAACTGTAAAACATCAGCGACACTTAGCTCTGTTTCCACACCAACTATTCCAGGACGGTTCTCAAGCTTCACGAAGTCTACAGAGAGTTAACTGCTCCAAAATACTGCAAATCCACAGAAAAAAAGTGATCTTGAGCACACAGGCCTGCAGCTTACTGTAATCATAAAAGGTGTGTTTAGTTGAGACAAATAAACTCCAACATGCAGCATCAGATTTACTTCCAGGACTTTGACAAATGAGTCAAGTTTGTTTGCAATCATTTCTGTCCTGTGCAGGTATAACATATGAAAGTATGGCCGTTTACAGTTATGGCCTGTGTACAAAGCACTGTGCAGAAGATAAACAGGGAGCTATTTCCTTTGGTAAGAGCACTCAAACAGACAGATCCATCACAGTCAGGAACGTCACCTGCCGATGGCTTGATCAGATCCCACAGGGATTGGGGAAAGTACTGTGAGATCTCACGTCTGTCTGTCCTCAGCTGCACCTCTGACACTGAGCGTCTGAAGGCCACCATTGAAAACTGACCTTCTCTGTCTGTCTGTAGGTGGAACTGAGTAACGTCGCACCGACTGACGTCAGACATCATTAGAAATGTTGCCGTTGAGAAAATGCGTGGAGTTTCTGTGGGATTGAGGTACACCGCTAATGATGACTGTCTCTCGAGGAAAGAAACTGAGTGAAGAATAGAAAGAGGCTTGATGGAAAGCTGCATAAACAGAGGACAATGAGAATGTGACTGTGACACATGCCGATGATATAATTAGGTCAAAACGAGGATGAGAAAGAAGTAAAACAGAAAGAGCAGTAGACTGCTTTGATAGTATATCACTCTTGTAGCAATAGTCAAGATGTGTTTCCCAGTGAACACGTGGACTGATAAATGTGACACTTTCTTACATCATCTGTGTAAACGTTTGATATTAGCACAGTGTAATAAGTGATTGAAAACCCCTTGTGTGCTTTCAGTGAATTATCTGTAATGATTCATTAAAGTCATGATTTAAATAAATTGTTCAGTTGCATGTTCTGCAGGATTGCCATTCTGATGTGGTGCGGCAAGATATTTATGTTTTGCGGCAGATCTTTATTTATTTATTTGCCGTTTCTTATTTTGTTCACACAGCTGTGATTTAAAAGGAAGATCTAAATATTGAAAGATGTTTCTGTCCTAAAGCAAACTGAGACGTAATCAGGAAAGTGTGTTCATCTGCGCCCTCAATGAAGATGCCTGGTAAATTAAATGTGCAAATCACTTTTTAAAAAGGCTGTGCAATGGAGAAATATCCAGAGATGAGTTCAAAGACATAAAACGTTCAAGCTGGTCATTCAAAATATCTAAAAAAATCAGATGTTTTCCATCGAAACGATCCGCCCAGCGGGGACCTGTAAAGCACATAGAATTACATCAGAGAGAAGCTGAGGGGGAAGTGAGGAGAGAGAGAGGAAAAATTCTTCAAGAATGAGGAAATTTTACTGCTCTCCTCCCTCTCTCTCTCTCTTCTGCCCCCTCGCTCTTTCTTCCCCAGTCAATCAGAGCAGCAACCGACTGACAGGAGGAGAGAGAAGCAGCATCCAGCATCAGCAGCTCCGCAGGTAAGACTGACACCTCTCTGTCATCACTTCATGATCGTTTGATATCAACCTTCTGAACTTCAGAAGCTTCAGCATCTTTGACTTTTTCAAAATGCTTTATAAGAGAGTTGCATGTCTGTCCATTGCAAAAAAAAGTTAAGTTGCACATATTCAGAGTTAGGCTACTTAGACTAGAACTCTTTCACCAAACATGCTCAATTTATGCTCTGATTAAAAAAAAAAAGAAAAAGAAAAAGTTTTCTAAAGATCTGTTCACTGTCACAGTAATCGTGCGCTGCTCTTCTGAAGTTTGTATTGAAGAGGTTCTGCTTACAATCTCAAAAAAGCTTGCATCTTTTGAAGTTTTCATCTTGTCAGGGAGTGGTGGTCACGTGATCTCTAGCTGTAACGTTTTTATTATCAGAATGTGCAGAATATTACGCTCGTCTGTCTGTTTGTTATTATGCACTTCTGAAAAAGACCGACACAGAAGAGATTCTGCTAGTTTAGACAAGGCTCATTTGTGTGACGGTAAACTGATGATGACATTTGTTAATGAAGAGAAATGATGAGATGGGAAGGAAAAATCATCAGGAGCGGGCTGAGGGGTACAGCAGCTGAAATACTCGTCAGTTTTATGTGTATTTCATGATTCATATTGTTCCAAAGAAGCTTTACAGAAATTGAACCATAAAACATTCAGTAAAAAAGACAAAGGCGTCTGTGGCAGGAAAACCTGTCTATAGGTGAGGAACGCTGAATGATGAAAAGTGTAGTTTTAGTCATTTTGTTATGCTGGATTTTTTATATACATTTCAATTTATCTTTATTATTATCTATTTTAATTTCAGTTTTAGTTACTTCATTTACTTAAACCTCTTTTATTTTAATTCTTTCCTAATTGTTGTTACATTGTTTTTTTATCTAATATGTTTATTTTATTTTATTGCGACTATAGGCACTTTGTGAACTCATAAAATGTACCTTGAAAGCAATTTCACTTTGAATAAAAGCAACTACAAAATGTATTTTAAAAACATAGTTTTAGTTAGCAGTAAACACTTTTACACAAATTAACTTTATATAGATTTATGCTTATGAAAAAGTCTACTCCGATAAGATCTGCTTTTACTTTGCTTTTTGCTTTTGTATGGGAACAAGTGAACTGCTGCTGCACGTTTCTCTCTCTCTCGATGGAGTTCTCAGTTCAATCAAATCTCATTTAAAGCTGATGTCATTTTAGCTGTAGTATTTTCACCCAGCCCAGCTTAACCCCTCATCCATCAGACACGGGGTGCGATTCCTAATACTCCTGCAGTTAGAAGCGGTTTCTTTTTTTTTGTACTGTATGACATGTGCACTTAAACAAATCATGCTCTTGAGCAAAATAGCTTTTAACAATAAAAAAAGTATTTTAATGACATCAGTAGATGTTATATTATTGAACCAACATGGCTCAAATGACGAATACGCAACTAAGTTACTATAGTCTCAGGAAACACTGCCTAGTTATTTCATGCATCACATTCTGGCATTTAAGCACTAGAACTATTGTTCTGCTGATTTTTTTTTAAGGGAAAGTAGCACTGAAATAAACCAATGGCTTGAATTTGGGGCTGGGCTATCTGGAGAGAGTTGTTTTGGTAATAGTTGTATGGATATTTTCATTTCAGTATCAGCTCTGTGTCAGATGCTAAAGACCTTTTTGTACTATTCCTTTATTTTCACTCACCACATACTTCTAGAGGAAAGTAGAGTGGTGCTTCCCAGGTCTGTTGATGTTTTACACTTCTAGTGCTAGTGTCATGGTGCATGTCCAAAACACCATAGTGTGAAATAATGTCCAAAAAACATGACATCAAAAACTAAAGTAGCTCAGAGCAGAACTGCTGTCTGTTCTCACCTGCCACTGCTAACCAGAACTAACTGACTGTTCAGTAGTATTTTCAGACATTTAAATGAATTTTATTACATTTTAGCATGAAAGGATGTTTGCTCAGGTCGTGACATTTACTTTCTCTGGTTTGATCTGGCGGACAGACACTGGAGCCTCTGTGTCGCAGCTTGTGGACACAGCTAACAACGTTATTTAAAGTCAACATGAAATCAGAGCTGACCCTGTTTACTCTCATTCTGTGTCATTCATCAAAAAAAGTTTAAAATCTTTCATTAAAATGTAATTAGCTTTTAAACTACTTTCAACAGTCCCTCTTACGTTTTCATGCATCTCTTCAAACCTTCTGTTGCACCCTGAAACTTGGATGTAAAACAGCTTGCAAATACTGTTTTCATGTTGATCTATCCTCTGTATGGTGAATGTCTAATATTGAATTCTGCATGACAAAACATGACTGAAATTCATATGTGTTTGAAATAGGAGGGATAGACGAGGACACTGCAACGCTTTACATCACTCCAGATCTGAGAGCCAACAGTGTATCTGTGAAAACTGAGTTTAAATGTTTTGCCTGCTGATCTGAGTAGAATAAAATACGTTCTCATTTACAGAACCAATCATCGTCCATTGGTTTGGGGGTGTTCCTCCCTGTAAACATGGCGTTAGTATTGCCTTTCCTGCTTCTGCTTCTGCCAAGTCCTGCCCTCTCCAGCCAACATCTGCAGACAGGAGCTCAGCGCGTCTCCAGAGACATCAAACCCCAGCCTATTAAACTTGTTATTTCGGACACATGTGCACAAGATGGGGCCAAAGACAGAGAGCTAGACTTGGATCCCGATTCTCCTCTGGTCTTGACCCATCGGATCCGTCTGGTGCCAGGGTCAGGTTCAGCTTGTGGTCAGTGCGAGCTGGACTTCGCAGCCCTGCGTGATCGCATTGAAAGACTGGAGAAGGAGGTGTCTGATCTGAGGGAGAAATGTGGAGGTCCAGAAGGATGCTGCAGCTCCCAACAGAGCAAAGGTAAAGCTCATCCAGATCCAGCCGGCCTCCAACCAGACGAGCTTTCATGAGCTTGTCAAATCTAGAGCCATAGTCTAAAATATCCTGAAGCATGTGTGTACAGGATGTCTGGGATCTCTATCCTAACCAATCCTTAAGGATTTCCTTATAGGAAATATTCAGTTCAAATCAAATCAGATCCTACTAGATAAACAAAAATTATTATTATTATTATTATTATTATTATCATCGGTTTGCTTCAGAATAGGATTCCAAATGTATCTGGTAATAATTAAATTATTAGGGGATTCATAGAGCATCCCTATTTATTCCATTGAATCCTTTAGCATTTGTTTCGGATTATCAAAATTCCATAAGCAATCCAGTGCATTCAGTTCCTCATGCACAGTCATGCTTATATTCAGGATGTATCTTTGATACATTACTTACTGCACTGCTACTACTACAACTGCTAAAAAAATAATAGAATAGAATAGAATAAAATAGAATAGAATAGTGGGAAAAAAAGATCCATTCAGTAACCCATGAGAAAATATGTCATCATAGTTTATGTGAACAAGGCAGCTGATTGTGAAAAATCCTCTAAGGGACAGCAATATTTGCTGAATCTCATTTAAAATTTCACACTGCAGTCTTGTTTTGAACCGATATATTTGACAATGTCAATGTCCTTTTAATGGATAATTATTAGTCATGTATGCAGACTAAACTCAGTGGAATGTGTGAACAGTGTGAATGGCTGCAGCTGCTCTAGTAAACACAACATACACAAGATACTGTAGTAAACGCAGCTGTTTCACATACAGTATGACCATCGCTTCTATGATTAGTTATACATTTAAACAAAGTGAACAGCAAAATATAAACAGATTTGTACAAATATGTACAACATGAATGTAGTTTTTTTCTGAAAAAAAAGAAGAAGAAAAACAATTGGGGCTGAAGAACCATAAAATTAGTGCATATGACTTGTGAACTATATTCCAGTTTAACAGCATTGACTGAAAAACATATTGAAAGCTCAGAAACCTTGAAACAGGTGATATTTCAGCACACTGAAAGAACCACTTTATCTGAATAATGACAATGAGAGACTTTAAAGGGGTCATGAACTGCCTTTGTTTTTGTTTTTTTGAGGTCCACTTATAAAGTTATCAATATTTTTATATCAAAAAACATCATAATTTAGAAGTAGTAGTCTATTTTCTGTCCTGTTTGAATAGGCGTGGAGGATTGTAGACACGGAAGTAAACACCCACTTCTGTTGTGTATGATTGACAGCAACATTCCTCACAGATGGACGCTGCTGTGATTTAGGTCAAATACACATAAATACTCATCTGTTTAACAGGCAAAGCAATAGTTGACCACTCAATAAAAACAGTTACTCACACTTGTATGGTGCGACATTACTGTCGGATCCAATATAGTCTCACAGCATCATCTTTTAGTTTCAATCTTTCTGAAAATCCCGCATCGAATTGTGCCTTGTTTGTAAACAAATCCACAGTAAAATGAAGTAAAGTAAGGACCAAGTTCTTGCCGATGTGATCTGGATCTTAATTAAAAATCAAGTTAATCAAATAAAGTTTATCATTTGGTTTCTGCGTAGACCTGCGTTTACCGCTCTTGTCATTTACCTACAACATGCTCGAATCGGTGGGCGGGGCTAAGCAGACAGCAATGTAGAATTGGTGGGCGGGGCTAAACAGGCAGCGATGTAGAATCAGTGGGTGGGGCTAAACAGGCATTGATGTAAATCGGTGGGTGGGGCTTAACAGGCAGCAATGTAGAATCGGTGGGCAGGGCTAAACAGGCAGCAGTGTAGAATCAATGGGCGGGGCTAAACAGGCAGTGATGTAAATCGGTGGGTGGGGCTAAACAGGCAGAGATGTAAATCGGTGGGTGGGGCTAAACAGGCAGTAATGTAGAATTGGTAGGCGGGGCTAAACAGGTAGCAATGTAGAATCAGTGGGTGGGGCTAAGCAGGCATTTATGTAAATCGGTGGGTGGGGCTTAACAGACAGTAATGTAGAATCGGTCGGTGGGGCTAAACAGACTGATGTAAATCGGTGGATGGGGCTAAACAGGCAGTAATGTAGAATCGGTGGGCGGGGCTAAACAGGCAGCGATGTAGAATCAGTGGGTGGGGCTAAACAGGCATTGATGTAAATCGGTGGGTGGGGCTTAACAGGCAGCAATGTAGAATCGGTGGGCAGGGCTAAACAGGCAGCAGTGTAGAATCAGTGGGTGGGGCTAAACAGGCAGTGATGTAGAATCAATGGGCGGGGCTAAACAGGCAGTGATGTAGAATCAATGGGCGGGGCTAAACAGGCAGTGATGTAGAATTGGTGGGCGGGGCTAAACAGGCAGTGATGGAAAATCAATGGGCGGGGCTAAACAGGCAGTGATGTAAATCTCTTGTTGTTGTTGCTTTGGCAGACTACCTTCAATATAAGCTGTTTTGAGACTAACGAGAAAGTTTAGCTTTAGCTTTTTCTTCTTTCTGACACACAGTTGAGTGTGTGTCACACTACATTAGTGTGATGTGTTTTTATTTCTCCACAGGTGCAGTCTGTACCACCATTCGTCCCACGACCGACGAGTGTCCAGATGACTGCAGTGACCAGGGTCGCTGTGTAGATGGCAAATGTGTGTGTTTCCCAGGATTCAGCGGGCCTGACTGCAGCGTGCCCGACTGCCCTGATGACTGCAGCAGCCAGGGCCGATGTGTGAACGGCCAGTGTGTGTGTGACCCAGGCTTTACCGGCCCAGACTGCTCCTCCAGCACATGTCCTGATAACTGCAACGACAGGGGCCGTTGCGTAAACGGCAGGTGTGTGTGTGATGCTGGATTTACCGGGCCTAACTGCGGGACACGGAGCTGTCCGGATAACTGTAACAAGCATGGTCGCTGCGTGAACGGCCAGTGTGTGTGTGATGCAGGGTTTACCGGGTCTGACTGTGGAACACGGGGGTGTCCGTCTAATTGCAATAAAAGGGGCCGCTGTGTGAATGGAAAATGCGTGTGCAACTCAGGATTCGCTGGTCAGGACTGCTCTGAGATGTCCTGTCCGGGGAACTGTAATGACAGGGGCCGATGTTTGAACGGACAGTGCGTGTGCGATCCTGGCTTCTCTGGGCCGGACTGTTCTGTCAGAACATGTCCAGAGAACTGCAACAATCGTGGACAGTGTGTAAACGGCAAGTGTGTCTGTGAGAGTGGCTTTACGGGCCCCGACTGCTCGTCCAGATCTTGTCCTGGAGACTGCAGTAACCACGGCAGATGCGTCGACGGCCGCTGTGTGTGTGATAACGGTTTTACTGGACCGGACTGCTCGACCAAGACTTGTCCCAATGATTGCAATAACAAAGGCAGATGTGTGAATGGGAAGTGTGTCTGTGAAGTGGGCTTCTCCGGTCAGGATTGCTCCACCAAAACCTGCCCCAACAACTGCAGTTACAAGGGCCGCTGTGTGAGGGGCCGCTGCGTGTGCCGGCGTGGTTTCACGGGGCCCGACTGCCGCGAGTGTCAGTCTGGCTTCACAGGGGAAAACTGCGACACTGGTGAGTGATGCACGTGATATATTACTTTATTAGTGAGTACTGCAATAAAATGTGTGTAAAAAGTCTGCACATTCAAGTCTCAGCATGGTATCAACTCACTGAAGCACTTTAGCGTTTGAAGCACCATGTCTCTTGGTGTCATAGTAATTATGACAGTCTCTTCTCAAAGGATAAGTCCACACAGTCTCATGAATAATTATGAGACACTGCTAACTCGACTCTAGCAAAGGTTCTCGACCTTTCTGACAGTAGGGCCCCCACAATCCAACAGCACAATGTTTCCTGTGTTTCTTCTGTTGTAATTATGACAAGGTTGCTTGTTTTACTGCTTTTTTTTTTTTTTTTTATATTAACAGCAACGGGAAGTGTTCAATCACAAGTCATTCTGCAGCCCCTTTGAAAGTTTGCTGAGGCCCCCGGGCCCTTAAATGAGAACCACTGCACTATAGAACATGAAAAAGTCACATACTGTGATGCTGGGGGGGGGGGACTAAATTATTATTAGGGGCTTTCACACCGGAGGAACCTTCTCATAGTTCCTAGAACTATTGGTGGAAGTTCCCACTTTTTGGCGTGTTCGCACCGCAGGAACTAGGAATGGTTTTGATTCTAGGAACTTCATTTAGGGGAACTAAATTAGCTTCTACTTCAGAGTAGGGTCTAAAACAGTTGTATAGGAACTACCAGTGATGTAAGTGTACGCTGATTTGCCAAACACATAACGAAACACCGGCTACCCAGCAAAGCCATGTAAAAATATTTACTTCACAAACATTGAAAACAGTGATAACGGCATTTACCTGTTGTCTGCAGCGTTGTTCTTTTCCTTGATGATAACACTGCAAGTTGTCATAGGAGATTTAGTCACATTTTCATGCTCTCTTAATCATGTAAACATTTTACATTTTGTCTCCATCATGAAACCCACGACAGACAACAAAAGCAGCTCTGATCACGGCGTCCTCCATTCACCAGTTATTGACTTTTGTAAATAATGCAAATAAAGACATCACTATCGGCACTTTACAGTTCCTGCTGCCGGTTGAATGTAACCAGAAAAACGGGCCGAGGAAGAAATTGGTTTTCTTGGAACGACCCTGCTGGCTAGTTCCCAGAACTGAGGGCATAGAACTGCGTGGTGTAAAAGCCCCTATTATTTTCACCTTCCAATGAATCAATTGGGGATCAAGCACCAAACTCTTGTCCCATGTAATTGTAATTACCTTTGTAATTGTCGCATGCCCCATAGAAACGCACATAGGAAAGTACACAGACAGAGGACAGTTTGAACATGAAGCACAGCAGATTTGGACTCTCAAACTCAAACCTTCTGCCCAGCTGTCCAAATTTGTTTATGTTAATTCCTCTGATTCTTTGTCTTATGAAGAGTCCAAAAATCAAGCAAACAAACAAACAAAAAAGCGAATTAGGCCATTTCCAGACCATACCAATAAAGATGTATGGAATTCCAGCTGATTAGTCGAGCTGTTTTTAAATAACACACTAATTAATTCATGAGCATGTGAGGCTGTTTTAAGAACTTGAACCAGACTTGTTGTGTTGTTGTGTGATTATTGCAAATTATACTTTCTGTCATATTATTTTTATTTATTAATTGAAATCATAAGCATGCTGGTTTAGTGCAAATAGTTTTACAGTTTACTGCACTTTGTTTTTCTGGTTATTTACCTATAGTAGCTAATGAATCTGAATTTGGTGAGGCATACTGATGGAAACTTTAATTTCGGCCATTATGGGCATCTGTTGTTTTGAATTTTGGTACATATTGGCATATCATTGTAACTCGGTATGTGGCACAATGCCTTGAAGGTACTCAAAAAGTTTCAAGACAGCGTTTTTGGCTGAACTTGCTGTCTGCCATTTTGAAATGTTTTGAACAACTACTTTTTTGAACTTATCTTAGCCATTGATATAATTTTCACCAAATTCAATTTGAATCATCTCCCGACCATGCTGGCAAAAATTTCTGGATTTCATGTTGATGGCATGATGCCAAACTGCATCTAAGGCTGTATCTCTGAAACGGTGTGGCATATTGACACAAACTTTATGTGTGTCATTGTCACCTCACATTGACCACATCAATTTGATAACAGCGCCACATATTGGTCAAAAGTGATAAGCAATTAAATCACATTACAATTGGCTGATTTTTGCACTTAGGGTGCTTGCCGCAGATAATTTTTAATTTAATAAAAGGAAATTATTATTATTGTGATGATAACATCTCAAAAATATGTTTTAGTCTTTCATGACCCTTTAGGAGTTTCAAGCCTGATTTTGGAACCTATTCATGGAAAGTGACAAATCCATAAATGATTTCTACCGCTTCTGAGTATGTCTACTTTTTCCATTGGGAAGGAGCAGATGGTATAACAGCTTTACAGACATTTTAAAGAGTGTCTTTATATTCCATTTGAAGGTGTTTAAATAATCTACACATATGGTAACAATCCAACATTATATTTTGTATTGCCCTGAGTGTTCACTGTGTCTTTATGAGTGCTCTTGGTGAGTGAGCTCTACAGCAGCGGGTCAGCAGTAATCAGACATACAGCACTGCAGTTATTGTTTCAAGTAGAAACAGGTGGGTTTGAATCTGTTTTGTCTTCTGTCCAGCACTGGCGGGCGTCTCGCGTCTCAACACCAGGGACATCACTGAGTCATCTGTCACTCTGTTCTGGACTCCACCTGCCGTGCAGTACGACACCTACCACATCACCTTCACCAGCAGGGCAAGTACAGCACTACCACACAACATTACATGTACAAATTCATTACGACACACTGCATGATAAACATAATAAGCACCGATTTCATTGTTATCTCGTCAAAAGGACAAATGGGTGAATAATAGCAGTAGATGTTCAACCCGAAAAACATGAGGTCACTGCCACCCTTCAAACACTTCAGAGATGGAATGAAACAGGATTTCACCCTTTCAATAAGAATCACATTTAACAAAGAAAATGTACAATGGCAATGGCAATCAACTTAAAATAATGGAATGTGAAAATGATAGATTGTTTAAAATGTAGTATTATTTAAAGTAATTATTGAATTAATCATTTTAAGAATTTATACATCATTTATACAGTACATCCAAAATAAATAAACCGTAAATGAGAATCACCTACTTTTTCCCCTCTTCTTATATCAAATACAGAAAAGCATTTAACAAAACCCGCAGCAGCCCAAATTTAAATCTGGCCGAGTGTGTTTTCCAAAGGAAAAACAAATTAATTTTTACACAGACATAAAATGAGCCCAATCTGGCAGTGGAAAAACGAGCTATTTGCTTTGGATAGAAGCCTTGTTTTGGTTTACAGCCCTCTGAATGTTTAGTGCCCATCTCTACCTCAGCAACCATCTCAACATTACTGAAACCATACACAACACCCATCGCTATGAGTGACCATATAAAGTCCAGTTTTTTTAGGGAGCCACAGAAGACATACAGTACATGTCACCATGACTGCGGATTCAGTATTTCTGACCGTTATTGGACGTTTAATTTCTGGACCAGGAAGAGGGAAGCTTCTGTAGGAGAGCTGAGGTAATTGTAATGGAATTACCATACAGGTTTTCTTAGCTGAGGGGTTTGTTGCAACCAGCTGCTGGACTACAGTGATGTTTCAGCTCAGTTTGATGGCCTGTTTCTGTCAGCAATTGTTCATTAAGAAACATATGCTACCAATCTGCTGTGGGGTGGGTGATGTAAGCTCTATCAATGAGAGACTGCAGCAGGCTCATCAGATGCTTCAGGAATGAAATGTGATGATGCTGTAATCTCTGAAATATCCCAACATGCTGAAACTCTTATTTTTGCATGCAACAGTATTTGAATCACTTCAGTCTAATCCGCAGCTCTCAGACAGCTTCCTACAAGAAATAAAAGCCCAAAAAGAGCACAAGAGGAGAAGTCTAATAATCATGTAAAGTCAAGTCATCTTATTTCTACAGAGGTTCAAAGTTCAGTTTTATCAAACATTCAGCATGATGAATGTCCTTCTTGTTAAAACCATGTTTCGGTCCCAGCTGGTCCTGGCATAGCTAAGAATCTGTGCTGAGGGCTTGTCTGGTTGGCAAGGTCTTCGCTGAGAATCTCTCCAAAGGACTCATATAATGGTCAAGGCCTTCACTGTGGAGGTGTTGTGGTCATTCCTGGGTGCAGATCCAAAATCTGGTCTGGATTCAGCTGACTATGATAATGATGGTATAATGGTGAGACAGACAGACTAATATTAGCGTAGGTGCCATTCTTCTTATGATGTAGGAAGAACATTGGGTGTTATGGGAAGTGTTCCTGGTTCTGGTTGACCTAATTAATGCAGCCTAACAATTATTTAATGGATTTGAATTATAGAAATGTAATAGGGTGTTGTGTGTAAGACAGTTTAAAGAGATGGGTCTTTAATCTAAATTTAAACTGACAGAGTGTGTCTGCCTCCCGAACAGTGTTAGGTAGATTGTTCCAGAGTTTGGGCACTAAATAGGAAACTGCTTTTCTAGTCACAGTCCCGTTCCGGGCTTTATAAGTAATCAGCAAGATTTTAAAATGTACACCATGTTTAATACGGATTAAGTGCAGTTTTGACGGAACCAAGCTAAAATGGTCATACTTCCTTGTTATAATGGGAACTCTAACTGTTGCATTTTGGACCAGCTGGAGTTTGTCATGTTTATTTTTGGAGTTTGTTAAAGCATGTATAGTATATTGGTACCATATTTCTTATTGGCCAATAATAGACATTAATTGGTGTCACTATTGAATATATATCAGCTAATACTGTATTAGTCCATGCATTTAATTGCCCAGGCTCACTTTCTGTATTTGTACATTTAGACTATCCTTAGATTATCTAATGCTCAATGTAAGTTAATCATTAAATACACTAATAATTTAATAACACTTTTTTTACACAATTTTTAATACTCTAAATTTAGTGTTTTATTTATTTATTTATTTTTATTATTTTGGCAATATAGTATAGTTGACCCTCTAGCTCTAGCACTCTCTATTCTAATTATATTCTTTAAAAAAAAAAAAAAAACTTGCCCCTTTTAGACTTGCACTCTATTCCTTTACTAACTGCTTGTTTTCTTAAAAACTGCTAGCTAACACTAGCTTCTCTAATCTTTTTTAATCCTATTTGTTTTGTTCTTGTTTTTATTATTTATTTATTATACAATTAACAAAAGCAAAAAAAGGGCCTCTAACACTAGCTTGCTATATTATTTATTCTGTTTTCTTTTTATTATATAATTTAAAAAAAAAAACTTGCTACGTGTACTGCGTTAAGCTAACTGAGACTTGTTATAACACTTGTATATCATTGCTCTTTTGTTGATTTTGATTGCTTCCATTGTCCTCATTTGTAAGTCGCTTTGGATAAAAGCGTCTGCTAAATGATCAATTTAAATGTACTATAGATATAAACAAGGGTAACTATGGAAAGGCCAGGAGTGAGGTGGAGCGGAAGCAGATAAGGGTGGGGGGGGGATTTAGGCCCAGGCCCATGAGGAGGGAGTGGGTCTGGAGACAGAGGTGGAACAGGAAGCCAGAGCAGAGCCGTAAGTGGAGCTGACAGAGCTGGAGACCAAGGTGGAGTAGTATGCCAGGGTAGAGCCAGCAGGTCTGGAGACTCCCACGGCAGAGCAGAAGACCACCATAGCAGAGCAGACGAAGATCCCCAAAGAGGAGCAGATGACCACCCTGTCCATGACAAAACAGGCAGAGGGTTCAGAGACGGCCTGTGTGGCCGTAATAGGACAGGCAGAAATTTCAGGGACGACCTCCGTGGCCGTGACAGGACAAGCAGAGGGTTCAGAGACAGCCGCCCCCTCAGGAGGGCCAGGAGAAGTGTATGCAGCCCACATCACAGAAAGTGCAGCTGATGGTGGAAGGACCTCTGGGACCGTCGGGCATTGCATGACAGGACTAGAGTTTGCGGAGCTTCAGAGCGCCTAGACTGCAACATAAGCTGTGAGTCCCCCACACTGGAAATCAGTCTTCCACGCCCAGAGGAACTCTTTATAGACTCCAGCATGGTGGCCCTGATGGCTGGAGACTCTGACCTAGTGACCATTATGGATGAGGACTCTGGTGGATAGCGCTTTTTACAATACAGATTGTGTCAAAGCAGCATTACAGTATTAAACAGGATAACAGTGTGTCGAAGGAACCAAGACTCCATCATTCTCCTCCTCTGTCATACGGAAGTAAACACAGAGGACATAAAGTAAGCGATTATGTGTTTATTTATCGTCTGGCCGGAGGAGAACTGGCCCCCCAACTGAGTCTGGTTCCTCCCAAGGTTTTTTCTCCATTCTGTCACCGATGGAGTTTTGGTTCCTTGCCGCTGTCGCTTTTGGCTTGCTTAGTTGGGGACACTAAATATCCAGCGATATCGTCGACTTGATTGCACAGATACTATTTAAACTGAACTGAGCTGGATGATGACATCACTGAATTCAATGATGAACTGCCTTTAACTGAAAATTGAATGTTTACTATTGTCGTTTTGCATTATTGACACACTATTTTCCTATTTAATACTGCAAAGTTGCTTTGACACAATCTGTATTGTTAAGAGCGCTATATAAATAAAGGTGACTTAACTTGACTTGACTATTTATCGTGTGATCTGCTGCAGAAGCCAGTGAAATTATGCACAGGCAATGTGAAAATAAGAAAAGGATGTGACAAAAGAGAGCAGAGTTTTGAAACTTTTCTGATACAAGCCCTCATATTTTGCTTATATATAGTGTTGTCACTGTAATACTTATGTTCTGACACATCACTGTACTTCCACTGATTACCTTTCGCAACTGTCTTGATAACTTTGGGTATGTAAAATCTTTGAAGTGACTCCCATGAGCGCAGAATATTGACGAATGTTGATCTAAAGTGACATAAAAGTTGCATGAATTCCGATATTACTGTTCAGACTGTGGTCGCATTGCAAAGCATCTGACCTGCATTGAATTTAGCACCACAAATGGAAGTGGCACAAATCAAAAATGAAAAGATCAGATTCCATGTGGTTTGTGCTGTTCACACTGTCATGAGAAAAACAGATCAGAGTCACATATGAGCAAAAAAAATTGGATTTGGGCCACATTTGCCTGCAGTGTGAACAAAGCTTAGTGACCAAATGTCTGCCCATCTGTGCTGTGAACATAAGTCAAGAGAGACTTAGGTCCTTCAGTTCTTCTTGTCAGGGACCATCTCAATCTTGATTGGATGGTGGCTGTATCACTTTCCATCAGCATGCAAGAGAACAAGAACTTTAGTGCCTAGAGGCATGGAACATTCTGCAGCTCAGATGCCAATAAACAGCAGGGTCGAGAGACAAAAAGATCTGCGGGAGCAGAGCTAATTAGGGAGGCCACAGCTACAGCTGTAACCACCGACAACTCCCTGGAAGAGGGCAGGTGATTGCAAATCATTCCACAGTTCAGATGCTCCTAAACAGCCTGGTCTTAAGACAAAAATCTCTTTAGGAGCAGAGCTAATAAGCAAGGACTGGAAGAGAGCAGGATACTGCACCACTACCTTAGCCATTCCTAAACTCATTAAAGCTCTTAAAAGCAACCAAACTGAGGGGAGTGTATAAACAAGCATCCAGTCTTCAGAACTTAATGGGCTACAGGAGAGAGCAAGTCTCTCTCAACAGCCTGCTCAACACTCAGTTCTCCTCACCAGACAAAGCAAGAGCACTTCAGGACCCCA